ATTCATGAGGCTGATGAACTAGGTATTGCGCCCCTTCATTGGTAAATTTGTGGTAGTCTATTTTGATGATATTTTGATATACAACAAATCTATCACTGAGCATGTGGGACATATTAGGGAGGTCCTGAAAACATTGAGGGAAAATAAATTATATGCTAATTTGAAAAAATGCATCTTCATGAATGATAATTTATTATTCCTGTGATTTATTATAAGTAATGATGGTGTGAAAGTAGATGAAGAAAAAGTGAAAGCCATTAGGGAGTGGCCGACCCCATCCACTGTCACAGATGTCAGGCGCTTTCATGGGTTGGCAACCTTCTATAGAAGCTTTATTAAGAATTTTAGTAGTATCATGATTCCCATTACTGAATGTTTGAAATAGGGTAAATTTCAATGGGGAGAAGAACAAGAGCAAAGTTTTGCTCTCATAAAAGAAAAAATTATGTTCTGCTCCTGTTCTTGCCTTACTAGATTTTAATAAATTATTTGAAGCTGAATGTGATGCCAGTGGAGTTGGCATAGGGGCTGTATTGTCCCAAGAAAAGAGGCCCATTGCTTTCTTCAATGAGAAATTATCTGAAGCCAGAAGAAAGTGGTCCACCTATGACAAGGAGTTTTATGTTGTGATTAGAGCCCTAAAGACATGGGAACACTATTTAATTGCAAAAGAATTTGTTCTCTACACTGACCACCAGGCCCTAAAATATCTTAGTGGGCAAAAGCAATTAAGAAGTGATTTGCATGCTAGATGGTCTGCCTTCCTAGACAAGTTCTCATATAAAATTGTGTATAAGGCAGGACAGCAAAATAAAGTGGCTGATGCACTTAACAGGCGTGTAGCTCTCATCAAGACCCTCAGTGTTGAGATTGTGGGTTTTGAGTGCCTGAAAGACTTATATGCCCAGGATGAAGACTTCCAACAGGTATGGGAGAAATGCATGAATAAGCAGCCAACAGATGGCTTCTTTATTTATGATGGGTTCCTTATGAAAGGGGAACAACTGTGTATCCTTTGCACCTCCCTCCACAAAAAGATCATCAGGGATTTGCATGGGATGGATTAGCAGGACACTTGGGAAGGGATAAAACAGTAGAAGCAGTTAAGGGACGATATTACTGGCCGAAATTAAGAAGGGGCGTGTCTACCATTGTAAGCAGGTGCTATGTTTGTTAGACAACTAAGGGACAAACCCATAACACAGGTCTCCACATGCCCCTGGGAAGACTTGTCCATGGATTTTGTTCTAGGCTTGCCAAAGACCCAGAGGAACATGGACTCCGTCTTCGTGGTGGCTGATAGATTCTCAAAAATGGCTCACTTCCTCCCATGCAAGAAAACAACAGATGCATCCACGACAGCCAGATTGTTTTTTAGGGAGATTGTCCGCTTGCATGGGGTACCCAAGACCATCACATCAGATCGTGACACACGGTTCCTCAGTCACTTTTGGATGACCCTGTGGAGGTTGTTTGATTCATCACTTAATTTCAGCAGTACAGCCCATCCCCAGACAGATGGACAGACGGAAGTGGTAAACCGGACCTTAGGGAATTTAATTCGCAGCATATGTCGGGAAAGGCCAAAACAGTGAGACTTCACCATACCCCAGGCTGAGTTCGCCTATAACAATGCAGTGCACAGTTCTACAGGCAGATCCCCATTCTCCATCGTRTACATGAAGGTCCCTAACCATGCACTGGATTTAGTGAAGCTACCCAGAGTACCCAGCGCCAGTATCTCAGCAGAACAGATGGCAGAACAAATCCAGTCTGTCCAAGAGGTTGTGAAGCAGAAGCTTGAGCAATACAACGCCAAGTACAAGATGGTCGCAAACAAGCACCGACGGCCTCAAGTGTTTGATGTAGGTGATGAGGTTATGGTCTTCTTAAGGAAGGAAAGAATTCSCGTAAGTACCTACAACAAGTTGAAGCCTCGGAAGTATGGTCCATACAAGATCGTGAAGAAGATTAATGATAATGCCTATATAGTGGACCTACCAGATCATATAGGTATATCCAAGACCTTCAACGTTGCTGACCTTCACCGGTACTTGCCAGAGATAACACTTGCCTATCCTAGTCACGACTCGGGGTCGAGTTCTCTCCAAGTGGGGGAAAATGATGGAGGCCCATCCCAAAGCCCATCTCACCCCTAGGGGCGGCAGCTCCTAGGATAAGGTCAAGAGTCCAAGATAAATCAAGAAAGGATAATTCAAGATCCATCAAGACTTAATCCAAGACTCCAAAACTTATCAAGAATCCAAGATTATCAAGAAATCTAGATCAAAATTCCAACAAGACTCCAAGAAGCATTAAGATTAGCAAGATAATCCAAGATTCATGCATCAAGGGAGATCGGACGGTGGAAGCTCAAACCAAGAAGAGTTCGATCCTATCAGATTAGATATTTGGATTTATCCTAGTTGTTATTTCCTAGTTATTTTACAATTTCTAAATGTATTATAAATACTGCTATTCTCCCAGAATTATTCATCAATTCATACTTCATAATTTTAGAGTTTCTTCAAGTTCTCTTCTTCCAATTTTCGCCACCTTTTCTCTCTCCTAGAGAATTCGGTGTTCTTCGCTAGAAGCTAGCGATCGCCCGGTGCTTGCATAGCCAGCCCGGTTTCCATTGCTTCCACGCTGCATCAATCTCCATTGGTAACTTACACTTTTGTAGAGTTACCATTCATATCCTTTCTGGGCTAGAAGCACATGAAACTTGGACCGTAGAAAGTCAAACCGAACTGGAAAAGAGGTTTGGTAAACACATCACCCAATTGATCATCAGTGGGGATACGTAGAATACGCCGCCAGATACGTAGCACCAATGTTATCATAGTAGAGAACAGGCAGAGAGGACTAATGAATACCCAAACCCCATAAGAGAGAGTGAAGCCATAACAATTCAATTGTGGTATTAGTTAAGGAATAAAACTCAGCTTTAGTGCTAGAACGGGCAATGGTGGATTGTTTCTTAGCGCTCCATGAGATCAAATGAGAACCAAGAAAAATACCATAACAGCCAGTAGAATAACAGTCATCAGGGCAACTGGCCCAATCAGCATCTGAAAATGCGACTAAAGATCTAGAAGAATTAGAAGCAAAGAAGAGCCCAAAGTCAATTGTAACTTTGCGATAACGCAGAATACATTTCACAGCCGTCCAATGATCATCAATGGGAGTTTGAAGAAACAAGCATGCTTTGTTCACAACAAACGCCACATCTGGCCAGGTCAAGGTGACATATTGCAAGGCACCAATAATACTGCAATATTGAGTGGGGTCAAGCAGAGGCTCGCCTTGAAATTTTGACAACCTAGATGTAGGTGCCATAGGTGTGGTCAAATGTTTGGAAGTTGGAAAATTGGTCTTCTATAGAAGATCAAGAATATAGCATCGTTGAGAGAGAAACAACCCATTCTTGTCTCGATGGGCCTCTACACCAAGAAAATAGTGAAGAGATCCAAGATCCTTAAGAGAGAAACTATGAGACAGGTACATAATAAATTAAGAAACATGAGAAGCAGAAGACCCAATAACAATAATATCATCAACATATACTATAACATAGAGAGAAATATTAGCTTTGTGATAGATGAAAAGAAAATGATCACACTGAGAGCCTCTGAAACCAAGATCTTGTAACCGGCTACTAAGCCGAGAGAACCAAGCACGAGGGGCCTGACGAAGATCATAAAGGACTTTATTTAACTTGTAAACATAGTCCGAACGGGTCTGGTCCTCAAGACCTAGCCCGTACGGACAGTGGCCAGCTTAACAACAGGACTGAAAGTATCAATAAAGTCAACACCAGGAACCTAAGAGAAACCTTGAGCAACTAATCTAGCTTTATACCTTTCTATAGAGCCATCGGGTTTTCTCTTGATTTTATAAACCCACTTAAATCCAACAACATTCATAGTGGGATCATAGGGAACAAGTTGCCACATGCCGTTTTGGAGAAGAGTATGAAACTCGGAGGCCATAGCAAAACGCCATTGAGCAAACTTGAACGCCTAAGAATAGGAAGATGGTTCTACATCATATGCCCCATTATCTACTAAAAGTCCTTCAAGTAGAGGATACCTTGTGGCAGTCTAAGTAGGGCGGGCAGACATAGAACAAGTGGTCATAGAGTGAGTTCGTGTGGTTGGATGAGGAACAGCTAGTGTGGCATCAAGAATATCTTGAAACAGTCGTGTTCTCTGATGCAATATTTCTATCTGGGTGTCATTGTGAGACGAGGAGCCATTAGTAGAACCATCAATGAAAGAGGAACCAAGAGTTGTACCTTGCTGATTAGTAGTATCATGAGGAGAAATAGAACTCTCCTATGCGCCATCAACTGAGGGGACAAGAAGTAGAGTGACTGGCACTAAATCTAGAGGTCCAGAGGAAAGACTATCTTGAGTGATCCCAAGATACTATTTCTCATCAAAACCCACATGTCTGGCAATAATTTATTTTGAAGTTACTGGATTATAGCACTTGTACCATTTATGAGGTGAACTATATCCAATAAAAATGTAGCGAACAAACCTATAGTCCATTTTGTTCTCGTTATATGGTCGAATAAGAGGATAACAAAGACAGCCAAAACTTCGTAACATAGAATAATCAGGTTTTCAGCCAAACAACTTTTCATATGGAGAGAGATTATCACGAGCTGGTGTAGGCAATCGATTAACAAGAAAAACCACAATTTCTATTGCTTTAGCCCAAAAGGATTTGGAGAGAGAAAAGGGCACCAGTAGAGAGAGAATGGACTTAATAATATGCCGATGTTTTCATTCAACACATCCGTTCTGCTCAAGAGTATGAGGACAACTCACTCAATGCAAAATTCCTTCACTGTCTAAGAAAGAAGATAATTTACGAAATTCTCCTCCCAATCACTTTGAAAAATTTTAATTTTAGTGGAAAACAAATTTTCAACATGTCTCTTAAATTTGAGAAAAGTATCAAAAACATCTGATTTCCATTCAAGAGGATAAATCCAAGAAAATTTCGAATATGCATCCATAAACAAGACATAATATCTATAACCTTTTGTAGACAAGACCACAGCAAGTCCCCACACATTTGAATAAACGAATTCCAAAGGTTGTGAAACACTACTAGAAGAAACAAACAAACTTAAACGATAGGCTTTGCCTAATTGACAAGCCTCGCAAACAAAATTGTCACTGACATTCCCAAAATAGGGCAAATCAAATTTAGAAATTATTAATTTAACAATTTTTAAAGAATCATGTCCAAGTCGATGATGCCAATTCTGAAGAGAATCTCTTTCTCCAACAAAAACTTCGGCTAAATTCTCTCTATCACCATTAGTGCCTGGAAACTGATAGAGTCCATCTCTATTAGGTCCTCTGATTAAAGTTATCCCCATATGATCCTTCAGTAAAAAGAAATGAGTGAAATTCAAACACCAAATCATTATATCTTGTAAATTTACTAATATAAATCAAATTTATTTGTCAAAGCAAGAACATGATAAACATTTTTCAATTTAAATTGTTGTTGATCACGATTTAGAGAAGAAGAACCAATACTCTTAATTGCAAAACCTTCTCCATTACCAATTTTCACTTAAACCATACCCAAAAATTCAAACTTATTCTGTAAGTTGTCAACATCTAGAGTCATGTGGTTAGTTGCTCCATTATCAAGGTACCAGGTGGGATCGAAATTACCAGTTGAACCATTGTAGGAAGGCATACTACTATGAAATGCAACAATAGGGTTTAGAGAATTATTGTTGTTTTCTCCTTAGTATGAAAGATCATACCATTTGTAGCACTTAAATGTTTCATGTCCGGATTTATTACATAACTAGCAAACAATTGGATTACCTTTGCCTCGTCCTTGTCCTCATCCAAGCTGATTGCCACGCCCCTGCCTTTGCCACGACCATAGTTCCCTTTGTAGTTTTGAAATTGAGGTTAATGCTCTTACTATGATTATTGCTATTATTTGCAGCAATATTAGCATTAGGAGTTTCACTAGAGACATTATATTGAGTAAGCCATGATTCATGACTAAGAAGTAAACTAAGAATACCATTAATTCCTAACTTATCAACATCAGCTCTATTAGTAATAGCAGTAATGAGAGATTCATATTCACTTCCTAGTCCAGATAAAACATACAAAATAAAATCCTCTTTTGCTACTGGTTCAAAAACAACAGACATATTGTCTGCAATAGTTTTTGCTTTTTTAATATAATTAATTATAGACAAGTTGCCTTTCTTGAGATTTTGAAGTTGACGCCTAAGTTATAGCACCCTAGATCATGAATGAGAAGAAAATGATATCTCTAGGGCACTCCAGACTTCGGCTGTAGTAGAAAGTCCAACAACTCAGGCCAATACGCCCTCTATTAGAGATGCAACAAGCCAAGTCAAAACAAATTGGTTCATTTGTACCCAAGAAGAATAATTTGGGTTAAGAATTTTCTTACTTCTATCATTCGGGTCCAGGATCTCCTCTGATGGTGCCTTGGTTGATCCATCAATCAAACTCATTAACTTGTATGCTCTAAGCACTGGTAAAACTGTAAAAGTTGAGCTCTTCATAATATAAAATTTTCTTCATTCAACTTGATCGTGAGATAAGGTGATGTGTTAGGAATAGAATTCATGGCCACCGTAATTATCATGTTCTGAGGAACAGACGAATTAAAGCTCATAGCTTCAAACGAATCAGCACGTTTGCAGCCATGATGGACCTATAACAAAAAACAATTCTCAACAATGCAGGGAACTTGTATTTCTTGTTTATGTCGACCAAGAACAATCCTTTCTACCCCATTTCCCTCCAAACCCCACCTCATCTACTCTATATCCCATTTTCTTATTCAACTTGGCCCCCCAAAAGAAAATTCCTAACCCTACCACTGGTTAAAACCTTTGATTACAAGTCATGGTATTGTTGTTATAAGGAGAAAATGTTCCGTCTCCTAAATGGCTAATTCCATTAATTCTTTTGTTTTTCTTTTTTTTTTTTGCTTTTTATGTCCTTTTTATCTTTTACCTATATTACAAACCAGCAATAAATTAGTCCATTCGGAATCATCGATAAGTTGGTTGTTTGGAGGATATACCATTTCAGATCATCAAAACTTTAATTGCACAAAAATTTCTAAACAATTTTTAACCATACCAGAATACTATATCAAAATCACTTAATGAAGCTTTATGCGCTTTTAAATAATGAGTTCTTTTAGTCGGAATTGTTTCATTACACAGAAATCTGTTTGACATCATTTCATTTGTCAATGCGCAAGCTAGTCGGCATTCACGATTAGTTAGTGAACCTTTTAATCATTCTTTTTCTTACAAAAATAAAGGAAGAGTAATTGGTTACCTTCCTCAATGAAAAATGAAAAATATATCAAAGAAAAAGAATTGAATATTTATTTATAAAATTTTCTGTATCAAGGGTATAAAGGATGTGATTTTATCCAATGAATAAGAAACCTTGTCTTTCGTTAATTCAACGGTTTAAACTAGGGTGTAACTTGGGTGGGGAAATTGTTAAATTTTCAATAGTCACAAACCCCAACCCGAGACCAATGGCAACTTGACATAAAACCCTAACGTTAAACAAGTAGGGGCAAGTCGGGCGGACTGAGTTGGATTTTAGTTCAACTTGGGCCTAAAGCCTGGCCTAAGGTCATGTCTGAACTATCTCAGGCCCAGACTACCTAAGAATTAGGCTTAAGCCCATTCAAAAAACTAAGGAGGCGTTTGGCAAGTCTTTTTAAAAAGATCTTCCAAAAGCTCAAGACCTCAAAAAACTGACGATCTTCCACAAGTAGATTTTCAAAGACCAAAGACTGTTTGGTTGCAATTTCTTTTAAAGATCTTTCAAAAGCTAGAAAGATCGAAAGACCATTTGGCAAACATACTTATCAATTCCTCTTACATACATGTTAAATGTTCATGTGTGGGACCTAGTAACCAAGGTTTAAAGTATCGGAAACATAAAGTGTATCGGAAAGATAATTTTAAGAGACGTATCGGGATACACTTTGGATATGTATAGATACGAACGAAAAATCAAGATACGTATAAATATGCTAAAAACTCAAATAAATCCTAAAAATATATTAATAACGATAGTTACAAATTTTATAAGATTATAAATAAGTTATTTAAAAGTAAAAAAAAAAAAAACTATAATTTAATGGTCTATATAAAATTCAAGATATCGGGACACACTTAGTAACTATTCACAAATGATGGAATAACTAAAACGTGAAAAAACAAAAAAAAAACTAAAATGTATATTGATATATATTAGTTTTAAAACAATCAATATAATTTATCCTTATACTTATTAATACATAAATTTTAAAAATTAATTCTAACATTTATTGATAAGCACTCACTAAGAAAAAGAGAAAATTTAATTAAAAATAAAAATACATAAACCTATAACAAGCAAATAGGCGTGTCTTAGTGGTGAACCTCTAGTTGTTAAAGCCTAATGTCCAAGGTTCGAATCTTGTTATTACTAAGTTTGTAGTTTTATACTAAAAAAAATGAATTTAATGAGAAAGAGGGTTATTAATTAACGAAATTAATAAAAAGAGAATTCCAATTAGGCGCTAAAATTAAAATTCAAATTAAAAATTATGCATTAATTATAGGAGTAATTAACTAATTAATGAGAGAGAATTGCACTTAACTATAGGAGTAAATATAAAATTAATGAGAGATAATTCGGCCCTAAATATAATTTAATGAAGTTAATAAGAGAGATGAAGGGATGGAATATCCATCACATGGACGCCCAAGTCTTGCGGAATGGACTGGGCGAATTTCAAAAAAAAAATTTCTCCCATCTTTGCAAGGAATCGAATTCCCTATTTTATAAAACATATTTTCAATGATCAATCTTGAACTATGAACCAAACCAGATCTGAACCAAAAGGAATAGGAGGGAAGATGTATCTGATACGGAGAAACAGTATCTCCCAATGGAGGTGTTCACGCCCAAGGAATAATCCAAAATATGCAACACTGAAGATGGCGCAATGCAGGATGGAGCAGAATCAACAATGTTCTTCCAAAAGAACTTGACCATTCGCAAGAATCAACTTGATGGCTTGTGAGTACAGCTCCAACCAATCTCTTCCCAAAAAATTGGAATCAAGATCAGATCTTGATTTCTCCCAAGAACTGGAAATCGAACTGAAGGTGATGGCGGCGGCAGGAAGGAGGCGGCAAGAGAGAATTCGCAGGGTGCAGAAATCTCTCTTCTTGTGATTTTCAGCTCTGAAGAGAATTGAACATCAAAAAAAATTAACAGTTGTCGCCCCTTTCTCCTTTCATAATCTTAAAAGGATCAGCTCCTAATCTCATTAGGAGTTACTAATCCAAATCATATTTGGATTAAAAATCCCTTTAAGTGATAAAGGATAACCCTTATCTTATCTGCAAATCAGATCAGCCATCTTCTAATCTAATTAGGAGGCTTCCAAATCTAAATTTCATTTAAATCTTGGACTCTCTAAGTGGATAGGGTCTAAGCCTAATCCTATCAGCTGATCCATATCAGAATTCGCCCATTTTATTTGACTGATCAAATCAACCCAGTTCGAAATGGGCTTAAGGCCCATTTAAGATTATGTACTCACTTAGCCTTTTAAACTGTTGTCCAGTTGGACTTCATTGTATGGCGAGGGACCCAAACATTAATCTATACATCAGCCACATAGGCTCAGTCCAGCCTTTGTTACAAGACCTGGCCGAATACATTGTTATGGACAGTGCACCCCCTGAAAAACCCATCTTATGGGCTCTATGGGCCCAACACTTACCCTAAGTGGTCACTGGGCCAAGCCACCTTGTAACACGCAAGGACTGTGGGCAAATGCAAGATTAGCCAATCAGGTATTATCCTCAATGGTGTTACACTTAACCTCTCAGCCCATAATAATCAAACACTGCCCGACAAGAAAGGACTTCTCCTTCGACTGCAAGGAACAGTGTTGCACTCTTTACTTACATGGATTCCGGGAATTTAAACATTTTGCAAATCTTTTCGAAACCATATATATAAATATATTTTGTAAAACAAAATCTCAACAATTGAAATCGGCTGTAGGCAGTCTTGGTTTTCATCAAAGAGAGTGCATCCCCGATCATTACCTTTGTCCGACAAAGGGACTGATCCTGTCACTATGATCACCCACTCAGATGAATTCTCGAACTGTCCCAACATGGCTAGGTTTTGACCCCCACTAAGGATATCACTGATTGGTACATCAAAGACAGCCCAATCTGACATTTAGTGTAGTATCATAATCGAGTCTAGGGGTTAAGTGTAACTTTCCAGTTTTGCCCATCTATCTCCAAGGTCCAGGGCAATATTGGAAATCTGGTCCGGTTCAAAGGTTCTATTAATCCTACACTGCATGTGCTTCGGGTCTCACCTTGGTAGCTGAGACAAGCCACCCCAACAGTTGGCCGCACACCAGTGTCAGCCTTGGTAGGATAAATCTCGCCAGACTTACCCAATGATTGTGAATATTCTAAACACAAATCTCATTAAGTGTCCAGTTTAAGGGTATTACACAAAAACACACAACAGGAACATGAATCAAATATATACTTTATTCATTTACAATAAATTCATAATGTACATAATTCTTATTAAAGCTAAGGGCATACAACTATCTAACAAGAGAAGGGGACTTGTATCAAGCTGTATCAGACTGTTTTGAAACCGTATCAACCAATACAGACCCGAAACAATCTGATACAGAGCCCGATACAAACCAATACATACAAAAAGGAACGCTATAGATAATTTCTGTGTTCCGTGTATCAGACTTATACCAAAACGATACGTATTGACCGATACGGTTCGATACATTGCAAAATTTTGAACCTTACCAATAATACATTCAAACATACAAATATTACTTGTGGTTTCCACTTACACATTTACTTACATAAAATATTAAAATGGGTCTCATTCATGCATTTCCC